AGCAAAATTTGCATTCTCTAATGTTATTTCAATACAATAGTGAGTATATCAAATGACAATATGCAAGCCCATGAGGACAAAAACTTATACAGATCTATTAATTCTAACTCAGATTTATTTTTATTGCCTTGACAAGGAAAGAGCATAATTGGCAATTATACACAGAACTGACTTCTTTGCATCTTGAATACATGTTAGAAATGCAAAACTGCCTTCCAGAATTAGCAGAGAATTGTCAAACATAATTAGTTTTCACCTGGCCAGCCGCAGCTTGGGCATCTACGAGGAGAGATGCAGACAACCATACTTGCAAGCATATTTGATGGGCAGCCATGGATAAGGCTCCTTGACGAGCAGCCATTGATGTGCTAAGAGTCACAGTCAGGACAGCAGCAAGAGTTCTTCCAAGAAGAAAACCACCTACATACAATTGAAAAGTGAAAATGACATATGCTTTCTTCAAAAAAAAGAGCCGTGCCACCCCACCACACAAGTGAAAAAAGTAAGAAACTAAATGAAAACTCTTGATTTCAAACTTGTTGGCAATTATTTATCTCATCTACAAAGATGCTATCTGTTTCAAATGAAAAAAATTAAAATGATACTGACATTTGAAGATTAAACCAATTACTTATTATCGGTATTACATTCTTATCGAAGTCATTTAACATGAGCTAAGAGAGACTGTAAGCACCTTGAAAGGAAATTAAGGAACCTACTACAGCAAGAATGGTGAAAAATTTTAATCAACAGGACCAGATCATATGAGCGAGAGACCAAGAAACGATGGCGCACCAGATTTTAAGTAGTCACCAAAGTGCAAACTTTTCAAACTGGGTAGCAACAATGCCGTTCTCTTATTTAGATGCCATAGCATCAACAGGGTCACAATATATCTGACATGTTGAAATATAGGATTGTCAATGCCAGATGTAAATTGGAAGCAACAATGATGGTGAAAGTACTTACTGAGATGCGACTGTGGAAATGGCTGCACCAGTTACTCCCAATTGGAAAACATACATTGCTACTGGAAAGAAGAATACAGCTGCAAAATTTCCAAGCCCTGCACGTTCATTTTATGAATCGCTCAAGACAAGAAAACAAAGTGATGTCACTGGTGTCTATTTACCAAAAGTATTCTAAAGTGTTCTGGGTCTCATTCCCTAGTATAATTGTGTAGATGCAACTCAACATGAACTGTATCCAGCTCTTAACCAATTACTTTAAGGATAGGAAGAGATGAACAAGGATATCTGTTTAGTAAAGAAATGAGATTTGTGTTTATAATGGGGCATGCTATCACACATCAAGCACAATCTACTTAATCGGTTGAACCATGACTTCTTTGAGGCAGCTGTCACTTAAGTGAAGACGAGCTTTCTTTCGTTCGCTAACCGAAGCTGGAGAAGTAAATGAATTGACAATGCACGAGTCATTTTAGTCACCTAAAACAAAACTATTACTTTATCTTTTGTTCAGAAAGAACATGAGAAATAAATGAAATTTCATAAACATGCTACCAAAAGCTATTATTACAATAGAACATAGCAAGGTGAACTTCTGGTGTCTAATGACACTTCCAGTATGCTCCTGTGTAAGCTGATAAAATTCGCAATTACTATAGTTTTGTCAACATGTACAATCTTACCTAAACATAGAACAGGAGTCCGAGTATCCTTAAAACCACGTAGGATGCCCTGAATAGCCAGAGAAAGAACAACAGCTGGTGCACCAAGTGCTCTAAGTTTAAGAAAGTGTTCTGCTGGGATCCGCATCGGAGAAGCCTGTTAAAGACGAGAGATGTCAGTAAAGGTTCTTGACAGCACCCGAATCTGAATCTAGAAAATGGTTTAACCTAACATGTGGTTCAAACCCATGGAAACATGTAGCTTGACTTGTAATGTTTGTCCTAGACAAGTACCACTCACCATTGATATACCCATCATGCTGAGAAACACTCCTGATCCAAAAAACATTGCTGCAGCCTCAAACAAACCAATTCCCATGGACAACACCAAGGCAGTAGAGACAGAGGGAAGTGTCATTCTTTCATCTGTATCATCAAAGATTTCATAATTATCTGAACAAACGTAGTCTTTTCATTTCAACATCCTCAGCTTCCATTTAAGCTAACCTGAAGAAGATTCTTCATTGCCTTGCCTAGAAATGTCTTCAGCGACAAATGAAGTTGCCACGCTGAGGAGAGGGATATTGAATACCTTTGATATAATGTTAAATATGCATATCGATATCCCAGCAGATGCCAAGTCCAATGCACCTTTTAAAAAATTTAATTTCAAGTCAGAAGCTTTAGAAGCAGTGGACCAGGGTCCATGTTGACAACATAGTGTTTCAAAGCAAACCAAGATTTGTTACTAGGGCTTAACACTGGAGGAAAGCATGTACAAAGGCTTACCTAGCTTTCCGATGTAAGCTGTTTCCATAAGTTGTGCCAGTGGTTCAATTGCTTGTCCCGCAATAGCTGGTACAGATAGCATAATAAGCTCAGTTTGGACACTTGGGGTCTGTTGCTGTTCTGAAGATATTCCTGTCAATGCACTGAGAACCACGATTCAGGAATTTTATGTTTTCTGTTGTTTCTTCATTTGGCAGGAGACGTTCAAAGCTATAACCATTAGCTAGAAGTAAGGAACAGGGGAAACAATTCTACTGCTGTATTTTGTCCCAACTCAAACTGTGATATCTGCCAAAGGAGGTTCTTCCTTGAGCCAAAATTACATTAAACCAAGCAAATTCAAACAGTCCAGAAAAGCGTGCAGGTTCTTTAATAAAAGCACATATATCAGACTCATTCAAATCTTATAATATAGGAAGACAGAATGAACCACTAGCATCTGTCTGTAACGCTGGAGGATTTAAAACGTTAAAACCATAAGAACAAAAAATTTGAAGAAAAATGGGAAAAAAATATTCGCTGTAGATTGGAACCTGAGTCTTACATTGCTCCTTCATTTGATCCATTGATGAGCTTCTCTCTGGTTGATGTAAACCTTTCCTGTGCACCAGAAGTACCAATCTCATACTCCAGAGCACCTTGATCACTTACATAAGCACAATTCTTAACAGCATTATTGAATCTGAACCCTTTCCTCTGACTCACTCCAAGAAAATGATGATTACTAGAAATCCCACTCAAAATTCCAACTCTAAAGGCTTTCTTTATCACTCTTCTTTCGCATTTTGTACCAGAAATCCCAGGAGCTACCCCTCCATGAAGCTTAATTGCCGCCATTTCTTCCCACTTGAAGCCGATCAGTATCTGGAAATTCAACCAAGCAACAAAGGAAAAAGGAAAGGAAAAAATGAAGATCTGTCTTAAGTCTTGGTTATAATGCTAGCAAGTATCTCGTGTTAATTAAGAAATGTTAAGGATTTCAAACTGAAAACGCTGGATTTCAACAACCCTTTTGATAACATAAGCAAGGAATGCTATTTACTAGTTCTATACGTCAAGAACAGCAAATTCTGGGCCCAACCTTAAAAGACTGGAGCTTTAATGCAGTACAAAAGCATACAACATTCGAATTTGCAAGAAGAAGAAGAATAATAGAATTACCTGAGGCTTCAAGTGGAGAAGAACATATAATCTGAAAGACAAACCAGGCCAGAAAGTTGCTATGAATTTTTTGTCATTTATTATGGACTAATGTGTGCACTGGTGTGTGTCTGCGTGGCCTGCTTTGGTGGAAAGTATGTATATACGTAAGTGTGATCACGACATATTCTACAATATAAGAAATGTGATGAATGATATAAGGCTTTGAATGAAGGAGGGGTGGGTAGTTGGGACTTGAGGAAATATGATGATTTGGTAGAAATGTGGCGGCAAATTTTATGGGGCCCAGTTCCATTTTATATAAGTAGTCTTTTCAGTCATTATATATATATATTTTTTGTAATTATATATGAGTATGTTTTATACTATTACGAATTCTTAGTACAAAAAAGAGTTCTAGACGAATATATTATATTATATTATTACAATTCTTAGTACAAAAACGAAAAAAAAATGGAAATTGCTTTTTTTTCATATGTGATATGCTTTTTATATAACATATATCACATTAAAGAAGTGTTACAGTATTTTTTTCAAAAAATTATTTCAAATAATCAAATATCCAAACACACTTTATTATTTTCGTTTTGCAATTCTAATTTGGTTGGAAAATGCCAAGCTGATACAGCAAAGTCTACCGACACTCCGTACCACCGGAGTTGGACAATCACATATGTTAGAAATGATTCATAGAGTATTACATGTTTTTCTTGGCATATTACACGTGAAACATTATTGATAATTTGTTGGAGACTATTAAAACAGTTGATGATATTCTCCATTCCATTTGCTTGCTGCTGATTCATGCAATTTTAAAGGTGGAAACAATTGCTGTTCCATCGTTAGGAAGACCCTACACTGATAATTGCAAGAAAACCACATGTTTTGTATCTTTAGAGTTTGAGGTACCAATAATGCAATGAATTATTGGGGGTTGTGATTTGTCTGAGATCTTTCTTTCTTAGTAGAGACTAGAGAGAGAGATCTTCTTGAAAAGCACAATACATTCTATTTGTTGGAGGAAAACTAGTACTGTCCTTCCCATAAAACTAAGTGATGATTCAATGCAATATGATAGCAGTCTGAGAAAGATTTTTGGTTCAATGATAGTCATAGTAGACTCAATTATTATGGCATTTTCATCCAACAAACAAACAAGTGAGAATCATTTGTTGTAAATAACCTAAACTTGGGATGAGAAAGCTCATCACCAATTTCAATTTCACAGATTAGTTGAACATTATTGTTCTTGCTTTTCAATCACAATCATCAGTTGCTGTAGATTTCAATATCATCTTTAATTTGGGTAGTTTCCTCTCTGCTGTGCTGAATTAACAGGACATCACATGTGTCTGATAACATGTTATTTGGTCAGTGGTCTCCATCTCCTGAATCATTGGAGCAACTACACTTCATACGTGGTCTCAAATTTATTTGTCCCACTGGCATTCTTGACCCCATGAGAGGACCAAATTTATATGAACAGAAAATTTCTGAAGTACGGTGGTTTTACACTTTAACAGAAGAAACTATAGAGACAGTAGGTTGTATCTAATCTTCAACCATGTTGCCCTTGGATCTGGAGAATACAATCTGTGCTCGTTACAGGAGTATGGTTTTTGACAACTGAACATCAGGTTGTGTAGATTATATCAATATGCGAGCATGGAATGGAATAAAATGTGGAGACAACTTAATGCAGCTCCACCTAAACAGACTGAGTTACCACAGATTCCTCAACTATTTCATATGTTTAGAACAGGGAACAAATTGAGTCAAGAAATGAGGAGCTGAAGAAAGATGAATGCAACAGAAGCAAGTAATGCTTCGGAACTCATTGCCGTTCAGGAATCACTGCGACCTGTGAAAGACAAACTTGAGTTATATGAAGATAAAAGGAAATCCAAAGTATTCATGTCTGACTTGAAAAGGTTAGCTTGATAAGCACACTGATCTGAACCAACTCCTCTCCCTTCGATATGATAAGTAGCCGAGATAAACAATTTTTACAGCAATCTAAAATCTTATCTAATATTTTTTTTTTTTAAAAAAAAGAAAGGACAACCCTCATTTTCTTTTTGGCTCTTTCTATATATTAAACATTTATGGTCTAAAGAAGGGGTAATTATCAGATCAAGTTTGTTTTTTAGTATGACAGTAAAAGGGCCATTACCACCAACCTTAGTTTCAAGTTCGTTCCTGTCCTGCAAGAACCACCACGGACCACTTTTTTGTGATAACCTGAAAATGAGAAAAGATTTAATGGTAAATCACGAGATGCACAATATCAAGCGTAGCGAGAAACTACTTGGTGAGAATTCTTAAATCACTGAAAACGTCGAGTCCGTTTTGCAGGAAAAAGAAAAACTCAAGGGCACTTCACCCTGACTCAGGTTTGAAGTTAGCAGCGTTAGGCAAGAAAAAGGAAGAAGTCACCAAGACTCAGGAGAAGTGACACGGATAATATTCAGAAATTTTCAGCAATAAAGCTGCTGTAGTTTCTAAGATGAAACTTTCCTTTTGGGGTTTCTGCATAGACAAGTATTGCAGTACTATTGCATTTTGGAAGAGAGAACCCATAAAAGCAACAATCTCAGTGCCGAGACAAGAAAAATTCCACTGCTGCCATTTACCTCCAAAATCCACTGATGGAGCGCAACCCCATGAATAAAGTCAAACCTGACCAAATTCCTGAAAGACCAAGCATTGAAGAAGCTTGGATGAGAAATGCTGATGAGATTGCCCCGATGACCATCTGAAAAGTTTTTGGAGTTGTAAATGAATGTCAAGACGTACAATGTAAAGGTAAACATTCTACTATTAAACATTATAGACAGGCCACATACCATCGAGCAACCTGCATAGGGGAAATCAGAAACACCATAATGGAGACCGTCAAAAACGTATGCCAGAGCACTAAGAGGCTGACTGGCACTGACGAGCTGTGAAGGCACAGATATTTATGTCTTTTGGAAAGAAACAGGAAAACTGTTAAAACTGAAAGAAGTGCAGTCATAAACATACCAGTATAACAGATCCAATTATATTTTGCACTTGTGCATCAGTAGTAAACAATTTGGCCAATAGAGGAAGAGACAAGCCCAATATGACAGCTAAAGCAACACCTGTGAGTAATCCTGTCTGGAGAAGCATAGGTGGCAATATATCAAAGAACATTAAATAGTAGGGAGATAGGTGAGGTGAAAAAACTGTTCAGATGTGGTTGAAGGAAAGCTCAAATGAGGAGACATGAGCGACTAAACCACCTTTAAGACTGCATATGTTATCTCTTTGACTCTGCTGAACTCAGCTTTAGCAAATGAACTTGCGATTAGAGCCTATAAACAATAGTACCATTGAATTAGATGCTTTCTGCCATCAAGATAGCACCGAGAAGTTAAAACTAACTGTCCAGTAACACAGGGCAAAGAGCTCGGGTTAAACGAACCCATTTTTATGAGAAATTTTCCCAGATGAACGTTTGTTCCATTGCATATGCAAGGACTCAACACTCAGCATGTAAAAGTCCATTATCAATCAGCTAATTATCAAGTTCAAGTCTGTAATGCGAATGATTTTCATATTCCTTGAGAGGAAGAGGACTGCATTTTGTAATCATCTGAAAGTTCACTTCCACAGAGTACAGATCGAGTAACATGTACTGTTTGTGAGGTCCCCTCCGTAGAACGTTAGAAACAACCCAATAACATTCTAATTCAATTCTAAACATGCAATATTGAATACAATACCTTGGTGTTCATTCAATACTACATGAACCAATGAGCAAAGCGTGATAATTCTGTTACCTGAGCAGCAGAAGCTTGAGCTTCAACTAGGAGTGGAGCAGCCAACCAAACTTGCAAGCATATCTGATGAGCAGCCACAGATAGAGCTCCAAGATGGGCAACCATTGACGTGCTCAAAGTCACTGTTGTTGCAACAGCTACAGTTTTTCCTAGAACAAAACCACCTGAGCAGAAAATGTGTATGAATATGAGATGTTTCCTTCAGCTCATGCAACTGCCCAGTCTCTACATCCTTTAGGGAGAAAATCGAACAGGAAGGAAAAAGATTAAAGCAACAGTTTTCATAAAGGCTCTGATGAAAACAGTTTTAAGATCTCTTCATGTTGGAGAGACCAACATGGTCCAGGCCTCAGAGCAAGAATATCAGACATAGGAGATTCCTTGGTGGAGTACATTAAGGTGGGTTGACTGTGAAAAGTGGGATCAATGAAATTCTTATCAGATTGGACAGACATTAATGACATTGCCTCTTAGCCCAAGATGCTAGCTAAAAGAAAAAAAAGAAAACAAGGAATCAAATTTTGCTCCAAAGAGAGAGAACAAGTAACCAGGACATAATCTGATCCTAAATCCAGGAAAATAACCATTTACCTGATCTTAAGTAGTCACCAAACTGCAAATTTTTCATATTGCAGAACTGCAGTATGGTCCTCTTGTTCAGATGCCACAACATCAAAATGGTGACAATGTATCTGAAATGTTGAAACATGAATATATTATCATCAGAGACAGGTAAAAACTAGTTGCTTTGGTGCAAGGACCTACTGAGATGCAACTGTGGAAATTGCTGCACCAGTTATACCCAAGCGAAAGGTATACATGGATACTGGAAAGAAGAACACAGCTGCCAAATTGCCAATTCCTGCACATTCATTTTCCATTTGTAAAGATAAGTTGGATAATTTAAAGAATCCTAAATTCCAACAGGACCATTCAAGAGTTTCAACAACAAATTAGTCTTGCCTAAACATAAGACAGTGGTCCTTGTATCCTTGAAACCGCGGAATATGCCTTGAATGGCAAGAGAAACCACTACTGCTGGAGCTCCAATTGCTCTGAGTCTAAGAAAGTTTTCAGCTGGACTACGCATTGGGGAAGCCTGTTAAGAAAATAAGATCCTTGGAACCTTACTAAACACTCAATGATGTATTGAAAGTACAAATTCCTATAGTTGATACAAATTGTAGAATATATACTTTGATTCCAAGTATAAATATGTCCGATGCTTTCCCAGTTTTATCAAGTTCGATACACGTAAAACTTACTGTTGATACACCCATAATGTTCAGAAAGAGTCCTGATCCTAAGGTCATTGCTGCTGCCTCAAATAATCCAATTGCAAAAGATAAAGCTAAGGCTGTAGAAACTGAGGCTAAAGCCCTTCTTCTATCTGTTTGAGCACAGCAGTTCAGTAAAATCTTTGAGACCCCCATAATATTAACTGTAGCACCCATTTAAGTTTACCTGGAGTGGTGTCCTCGTGTGAGTGTTGAGAAATATCTTCAGCGACAAACGAAGTAGACAGACTAAGGAGAGGAATGTTGAACACCTTAGATATAACATTGAATATTGAAAGTGATACTCCGCCTGCAGCCAACTCGAGTACACCTTAAAAAAAAAAAAAGAAATTCAATTAGGCACTTACCAGACCATGCAGCAGAGAAACAAGTTGGAATGGAAGAGGAACAAATGTAAGCCTATGGAGGTGACAAATGTATGTGTATTTCATAACTAACCTAGCAGATCACAAGCAAAACCACTCATCACATTACCGTGTTTCCACTTCTTAGCCTAAGTGATTAAAATTGACATCTGCTATTCATAGGCAGACATGCATCAGTGAGAGTACAAGTATGGTAGGAAAAAATTTGGCCAAAAATAAAGAAGAGTACTCATGAAAGTAGATGAGTTTACCTAATCTTCCAACATAAGCCGTTCCCATGAGTTGTGCTAAAGGTTCAATTGCTTGTCCTGCAATAGCTGGCAGTGACAGCATTGCTAGCTCACAAAAGACAGCTGGAGCATTGGGTTGATCCTTTAACGTTCCTGTCACAGCTCTAACATTCGCAACACCACATTTCCTTATTGTTATTACCCGTTTATTTGCAGCTAAGTAATAACATTTCTCAGAATTGGTGAAAACAAAGAATTACATGCCAGGCCTATTTGCGGTCCAAGTCCAGCTGAGTTTTATGTGGCTCGACCTGAGCTGTCCAATCCCCCACCCCGTCTTTTTTTTTTTTTTTGAAAAAATAAAAGGAAAAGAAGAGCTTTGATGATTAAACTTACCAGCCTAGATCAGGCCACATCAATCATAAGCCCAATTTGAGCAGCTAATTGTGACTAGAAGTTGCGCCTATAAACTGTACCACAATCCCTTCCCATTTCTTTAATAGTAGTATTTCTAATTCACAAATTTAAGATGTCACTATCACCCAAAAAAGGAAATGGAGAATCACCATCGGCAAGCAGGCACTGTCCAATCTGAATCACCTCACGGTAGAAACCCAAAATATGTATTAAGGTTAAGAAGCACGCTCAGCTCTGATGCCAGGACAATCCAGATAGAAATCAAAATCAGGCAAATATGACAAGAATCAAGTGGTGCATTAAGTCTCATACTTACATGTCTCCTTCATTTGATCCGCTACAGAGTCGCTCTCGGGTTGAAGTACACCTTTTTTCCACATAAGAAGAAGAACCCGCTTCATAATTCAAAGAATGCTGATCACTGACTAATCCAGAATTCGGAGCAGCATTGTTGCATGTCAATACCTTCCTCTGATTTGCTCCAAGAAAATCACTATGAAGAATCCATTTTGAAGAATTTTGTAGATTGGTAGCCTTCCTAATTGGCCTTCTTCCACATTTACCCGCAGTATTCCCACGAACTAGTGTAGCACCACCAGAGAGTTTAATGACTGACATTTGGGCTCAATCAGAATGTAGCAAAACCTGCAAAATATCACACTCCGACTGATTCTTCCATAAGAACCCACACCAAATTCGATTATTTCCAACTCTTGGATCCTCATTTTTAATACTGATTCTTTGACTTCATGGCACGCTTGCATATTTTTAAGGTGGAGATATGTTTTTTTTCTTTTTTGTCAGTCAAAAGTTCTTATAGTCTTTCAGTCAGGAAAGCTGCCAAAAAGAATTCAAGAAAAGCCATCCCAGGGAGTCAAAAAAAAAATGTCGAATGAAGCAAGTAAACAAACAAATTTCTCAACCGTTCGAAACAAGCATGAAGTGGACATTACAAACCATAAAAAGACTCCAAAATAGAGATGGAGGGAGACAAGAAAAGAAACACTTAACTGAGATCAATCTCGGTACTCTGTCCGCCGCCAACTCAACCAACAAAAAATATGCAACTCTGATTATTGCAGACATCTTTGACACATTTAAGTTCTGCTACTTGCTTGTGAAATATTACTACTATTCTTTGAAGTTTCTCCTCGCGGATCAACTGGTCAGAACTCTTTTTTTTTTTTTTTTTTTTAAAAAAAATCTTTTTCGAAAAAAATTTCTGAACCCTGTAGAAATTTTATTGGAATGACAGCGTAAGTAGCCTAGGAGGTACAGTTTCAGAAAGCTGTTGGGAAAATTCTGTGCATTGCTACGTTGTTCACGAGGAATTTCACAAGTACTTAAGTGTCAGGAAAAACATGTACGGACGTGTATAACTCTTTGCCAATGTTTTAGGACCACAGGAAGAGGGGCATGACGAAAAGGACCCATAGTTATTTTTCTCTAGTCTTGACTAATAGTACTCAAAAAAAAAAAAGAAAAAAGAAGAAAGAATCTTGACTAATATTCATGATTGTATACATGGTCTGCTCTGGTTCCTGAATCAGAGTCTTTAGTTTTTGATAGTTGAATAGATCTCTTTTATTACTACTATTACGTTACCTATTATTTTATGGCGAATGGGTGACTGCTGTAGCAGCAACATAACGTTGAACCTTGACAAATATTTTTGAAAAGTTGATTCTAATCATTTTCATCAATCCTTGCTCTTATTTGTAAATTACAAATAAGTTGAACCGATACAAATAAATATACCACCCGTTTGGTTGGAATTCCACAATGACAATGACAATGACAATGACAATGACAATGATATTCCATTTCTTTTTATTACTATAATGGATTTCCTATTTTTGTTCTTCAATATTTTTTCTTGCTTCATAATGGAATGGGCTGATCTCTGAGCCAAACCACCGCCAAGTAGCAGCCAACAATCATAGCCTATGACATCAGGAAACATATATAGTAGTTCCCAAAACTTCACAAATTCATCTCAAATTCTTCAAATCATCTCCACCCATGTTAGTGAAAACAAAATTTCAATTGAAATTTAACAAACTATTTTTTTTCCAGTTTGTACAAATCTGAAAACCCACCACCATCACTACCAATTGCTAATTTAAAAAAAAAAAAAACAATTCACCATGAATACCCAACATCATGAAGAAGAAGAAGAAGAAGAAGACTCAATCATTACCAGCTAAATCAGGAGAAGAAGAAGATGAAGAAAACTCAACCATCTCTTGCTTGGATCCCACGGTTGACCTATATATGTTGGAGGAATCTAGAGCTGAAGGGTTAAGGGAAAGCTTGGAAAAGGCGGTAGAAGCAAGGGGTGCTACGCGGTGAGAATGTGAGTGAAAGAGGTGTCGAGAGGGAGAGAGTTTTTGGTGCAATGAAGGTTTCTTTATATTATTTTTGTGGTTTGGTGAGTAATCAAGACAAAAGTGCCCAATTTACTCTGGAATGGCCATTGAAGAGTTTTTGTTCTTCCATTATCATAGATCATTACCATTGCAGTATTCCAAACATTATCAATGACCATCATTGATGGCCATACCCATTGCCTACACCCTAAACCCTCCAACCAAACGGGTAGAGGGTTTTATTACTACTCTTACATTACCTATTATTTTATGTTGAATAGGTGACTGTTGTAGCAACAACATAAGGTTGAACCTTGACAAATATTTTTGAAAAGTTGATTCTAATCATTTTCATCAATTCTTGCTCTTATTTGTGAAATTACAAATAGGTTGAACCGATACAAATAAATTAGGGCAAAGAGTCCCAGTGGCCCTCAAACTATTAGATGGATGAACTTTTGGTCCCCAAACAATTACAAGTAAATTTTTGGCCCCCTATCTATCCAAAATACAAAATGTTAGACCTTTTGTCAAAATCAGCAGTTAATATCGACGGAATCTACGATTACGTGAGACGCACACCGAAATACGAAGGACATTTTTTTCCACAATGAGCTGTTTACTTTCATCACTATCTCTCCCTCTGTCTGCCATTATCGGCTACTGCTGCAACTTCCCGACTACCAGTACCGTGGAAATGATGAATGTAAAAATGGCTGCTTTAAGAGTGAAGCCAAACAAAACCTGCATGCAAGGGGCACTGCAGAGCATAGCCACCAACCCAAAGCCTTAAAGGGGTGCTGGGTCTCTCGGTGACGGTAGTCAAAAGCACAAAGGCAGCCACCAACATAAACCCCAAGTTCCATATCAAATCAAGAATCACGAAGGGCCTTGAGAATGGACATTCTTGGCCTACTGGGAGTGATGGGCCACGACCACAGTCATCCTCATGCTCCTCCCTCTCCTCCTCCTCATCATCATCATCGTAATCATTGAAGAAAATCCTGTGGTGGTTCAAGGTGGTGGAGGTCAGTCTGGAGAATGTGGTGGCTATATTGGTGGGGGCCCTTGTGTTATTGTTGGAGCTGCTGTTGTGGCCATTCTGAAGAAGAAGCAAGCCTTGCTGCTGGTTCTCCAGGTCCATTTATAGGGATGATAAAATTCCAGTGGCTGCAATCTACTCTTTTGTCCGATGAGAGAGAGCTGGTGCGGTCGGTGGCGGTAGTGAGTTTTGTTTTGTTTTGAGAGACACGGTTACAGTAGCAGCAGAGCAAAGAAATGCTCTGTTGGTCGACTCCGCTGCACTTTGGGAAGTGGGGGCCTACTGAGGATTGAGGAGAGACAATCACTCACTCATCTGTGCAATTCTCTATTTTGCAGTGACTTTCCTTTCTTGTCTTCTTACTTCTTCATATGCATCTCTTTGCTATTCAGCTACATTAATTCTTTTCAGAAACCCAGGTATGACCTCCGTTGAACGGCTGCACATCTCCTTGTCAATTCACTGCCAAAATCTGCAGCCACCATCCGTGCATTCCACAAATCTCTGCCCAGCAGCCACAATCTGTGCATGACCCTCGACATTTTCTCACACCTGTACAATGGGAAAGGCGGATTGTTGGTTTCTCGCATGCTTCCAGTTCAGCAACTTCTTTGGCTGCAATGGAGTTTTTCTTTGTTCAAGTTCGGGAAGGAGTCCCATTTTACCGAGTGGAACACAGGTCATTGTGGATAAAAATGCCCTTCGTATTTCAGCGTGCGTCTCACGTGGTCGTGGATTCCGTCAGTATTAATTGCTGATTTTGACAGAAGGTCTAACATTTTGTACTTTGGATAAATCGGGGGTCAAAAGTTTACTTTTAATTGTTTGGGGGCCAAAAGTTCATTCGGCTAATAGTTTGAGGGCTACTGAGACTTTTTGCCCAATAAATTATGTGTTTTTGGTCTAACTAGTGTACAAACTAGTCCAGAAAACGAGGAGCATGAGTTACGTCTCTTTGACTTCAATATCGAAAATCGAAAATTGAAATTTTCCACTATAAAATAAATTAAAGGCTGCTCTGGCGACGGACGAATTCGTCTTATTGAATCAAATTCAAGTAGTGAGTTCGAAATTATCAAGTTCTTCAAAGTTGTCTTCAAGTTCTTCAAAATCGGAGTTGGAGTTTATTTTACCTTACTTGATCTTGACCAAATTGAGCTTAATCGAGCTCAATCGAGTTTTCAAACTCGATTTTTTTAGTAAATTTCATAATTTTATAATAAATAATTAAAATTTATAGTATAAATATACTACTCGATAAGGTTTGACAAATACTTAAATTTTGATTTTTCTACTCGAATTTGTACTCGACTCGATTATCTTATCAAGCAACTTGAACTCGATCAATATCAAGTTCGATTTGAGCCTTTGCCAAGTTATTTGTGAACCTGAGTCAAGTAATTTGATTGATTTACACCCAAAGTTGGCCAATAGTTCATTTTGCTTTGTGTTTACTAAAGCCAGGACGTCCCTCTGATAGGAGAATGCATCTCCAAGGGAAAAAAAGAGCCAATGCAGTCAAGTATCCAAAAAATATAGGGAAAATGATCGGTTTCATCCTTCACATTTCACAAAAATATTCTTTTCGTCCCTCACTTTTAAAATGAAGCAATTTCGTCCTTAACATTTAAAAACTAAAATTATTACATCCCTGAACCCAAATTTCAATTTGAATCAAACCACCAATCAACCTGATTACAAATTTTGGGGGTGTAATTGGTAGATCACTTTGTTAACTCAACTTGATATTCATGTAAAATTTAATGAACCTAAAAAGAAAAAAGAAAAAATTATAATATAAAAAAGAAAGATTAATCTTTTCTACATTATCATTGTATACACTGACGGTTTTATGTACCGCCATATCATTTTAATTTAAATTTAAACACTAAATTTTATATTTATGATACACATCTAGATTCGCAAGCGGATATACTAACGGTGCATGAAAAATTTATCAAAAAAAAAACTCTACTATTCCAATACAAAGAATGGCCTTTTATGTTATAATTTTTATTTTTTTGGTTTAATAAATGTCATGTGAATACGATGAAGTTGACCGAATGATCTATCAATTCTATTTTTGAAATTTATTACTGGGTTATTGGATGGTTTGATTCAGATTGAAAATTAGGTTCAGGGATGTAATAGATTTAATTTTTAAATGTCAGGGACGAATTTGCTTCATTTTAAAAGTGAGGGACGAAAAGAATATTTTTGCGAAATGTGAGGGATGAAACATGTCATTTTCCCAAAAATATATTCCCCACCCAAAAATAAGGCATCCTTTGGATTACAAAATTTTGGAGTATTTGTAGAAAAATATATTATAATGATGTAATGTATAAATGATAAAATTGTAATTAGAAAATGTGTCAATAAATTTTTTTTTTTACAAAAATTCACAATCTAAACAAGGCCTAAATTACAACAATAATAGTATCGATTTACTCTTCATGCTGATGCAAGTTGCTCATCTTGTTGATCTTATATCAAGGACGATAGAGCAAATTAGATTATTTCCTTCATTTCATGCCGTGATTGCCGCCATGCTGGGCTTATCTTTCTCCCTTCCTAAGACGAGTTATTCCATTTTGGAGCATCTTTGAAACATTAGCTATTGGTAAAGATGACTAATGATGATATAGATTGGTGTTTGGAAGAAAAAAAGAAATAATTAATTTAGAACAGTAATTGAACATAGAAATGTTTCCCCACCCAAACTTTTTATCACCCAAAAAAAAAAAAACTTATAAGTGTTCCCAACCCTCCCACTTAATAAAATGCAAACGTCAAGTGTTTCCTGTCGGTTAGATTCTCCTTCCCCAACAATAGGACGGAGTAGGTTATAAAAATATTATCACAGTGGCAAAAAAAAAAGAAAGTGGTGCCATTTGGAAACACTCCAAATCTGGCATATACACTGTCAAAACAGGATACAATGAGTGCATAAAGAAGGCAGGAAGAATGGAAGGGACAACAAAAGAGGGATCGGAAGGTAGCAGAAATGGGCAAATAGAAAAGTGCTTCAAGAGTTTGTGAAAACTCAACATTAAGCACAAATTGAAATTATTTATATGGAGGTGCCTTAAACAATTTCTGCCGACAAATGAGCTAATTCATAGGAAGACCAAAGCTGGAGAAGACAGGAGAACCCTGGTGCAAGTACTGTGGAGATAAAGTGGAAACACTTGAGCATACTTTATTCTTCTGTCCAAAGGCTGAACAAGTTTGGCAAGTAGCACCTATTCAATGGGACGGATTACTAGAGAGAAGATGGAATTTCTGGGACTGGTGGGAAGGATTAATTGAGGCATTGAGAAGAGAAAATGGGAGAGACCACATCAACCTAACTGTTAATAAACTATGGAACATTTGGAAGGAGAGAAATGGGTTCCAGTTTGAATCAAAAGGAAAGAAGGAAATCGAAGTGGTGCAAAAAGCCTGGCAAGAATGGGAGGAATATGATAGATGTTGCAAGGAACAGGAACCTCACAGGTCAAAGAATGAGAACGATCTTAAGGGGCATAGAGAAGAAAGAAGGAAAAAGGACCACATAAACTTGCGAGTAGCTGTAAAAAGTAAGCAAACCAACAGAAAAGTTGGGTGGGAATCACAGCAGTAGACCCACGAGGGAAGTTACGCTTACGGGTGGCATGGGCTATGTCAGAACAACATGGAGGGACTAAAAGAAGGGATAATTTCAGAAATCTCCCCTGAGGTTTCTGACAGTTTCACTCACCTCCCCTGAACTTTGCAAAATATCATATACCTCTCCTGAACTTATAGTTGGAGTAACAAGATCAGCCAATGTCAGAAAAATGAGCATTAAAAAAATATTTTGAGGAATGAGATGATATTTGTGTTCTACATGTGCCCTTTTTGCTTATCCACAACTTGAGATAAAGCAAAAGCAAAAAAATGAAGTAATAAGTTGAACCAGATAGAGACAAATGCAGATGGCTTCTTCAAGCAATGTTACAATGCTATATATATATATTTTAGCTATTAGACATTTAATTAGCTAATATGATCATTCAATTAATTGAAACATACTTCTAGTGATATAAAAAAATGTATAGTTTTATAATTCGAGTGATTAAAAGTATAAATTTTTATTAGTTAAGTCATAAAAAAATATTATTTGAGTGATTAAAAGTATAAATTTTTACTAGTTAAGTCACAAAAAAATTTCACTATTTGGTTAATTGAGTGAATGGCAATTGCAGTTAAATAAATAGTGTAATGATCAAATAACCAAATTTTCAATAGTTTAATAACTCTTTTTTGCGATTTTCTCTGTGGAAAATGAAATGAAGTAGCAAGATACTTCATTTCATTTAGTGCTAGATACTTTAGTTGAGATTTTTTTTTAAAAAAATTAATTCACACTGTAGTTAGTCGAATTTATTCAACAAGTTTCGTTTGAATACCAGAATTTCGGTAGATCCGATTTTCAAAAAATTCAATAACCCAAATTGTGTTGCATCACTTTATGAGATAATGTAATATACAATTTACGTCATTGAATTTTGAAAACCAAATTTACCCAAATATAAGTAATGAGTTACACTAGATATCCAAATATAAGTAATGAGTTACACATACCTCCCCTATTGCTATAAAAGTACCTTAATTTGGGTAACTCATTAATGCTGTCATTGATGATATCATTAATGAGTTACATATACCTCCCTTGTCTTTTATTGCTGTGATATCATTGATGATGAATTGACAGATAATCTGACATACCTTAATTGACAGATACCCAAATTTAGCCTTAGAATACTACTATTCCAATTCATTTTGCTTGAATGGATTGACTCTATCCCTTTCTTTGTTTTATGCATTTTTTCAACCCTATTATCAAAAATTTCTACTCACCAACCCAAATGTCTACCATCTATTATGAGTCTACCATGATTAAGGATAACTCCAGGGACCTAATCCTGGAAACAGACAGACTTGCTTGGACCAACAGATGTGTGATCAAGCAATCACTCTATAATTTTATAGAACATATATAATACAAAAATAGGTAGGCCAGTGTTTCATCATCTAGTTAGGTGCAACAAATACGCGTCATCACTTACAACACAATCAATTCCAGCCTATGTATCTTAAACGTACGCTTCAATTTGCCTAATTAAATCAAATTACAGCGTTAAAGTCAATTGTTTGGCTCGCCCGAGTTCATACAGCTACTTGGGTTGGTCCCTATCTACTTAGATTAGTGTTAACACTCTAGCCTCGTTCATGGACCCAATTACGTAATACTACAGTCTGATTCTCCAACCGTATCAATCTCATTGTGCTAAGTGACTGGAATGATAAAAGTACGCACGCAGCTAATATTTAAGGCCAACCGATCGATTTCCACTAGCTGGCAAAGTGATTAATTGATATGACCCTATTGATCTTTTTCGTCGTCATGCATCAAGATTCAAGGCTGCATCTAGACAACCATCGTTTTATCAAGAAAGAAAGACAGGAGTTAAAATTCAAAATAGAACGTCCTACATATGTGAAGTTTTATCAAGAATGACATAAAGCTGACTAGGATAAGTTAAAATTCTACATCAGATACCAAATGAAGAAGAATTGGAGGCTAGCCTAGCTCTTAAGTATTTCAATATCCATCAATTGCCATATGGATTTCTGGGCACGCAGTTGATATTAAACGCGGAACTAAAAAGTTGCAAGAAAACGCGTTTGTCATCCGCGTCTCTAGAATGTCAAGATTGTCAAATGATGATGATGATTCGACATCCGCATGTCTAATAGTCTTCGTCGCCGCCCTCACGTGATCAGCTCAAAGGAAGCTACAGAGAAATTGCGTTTTGAGAAGTTGCGTTTTGAGACATGTTCTCCCATGACAAAGGAATTGCTGATGCATTTTTGCTGAATCAGCGTAGTGACGTCCTTGTCTTGATCACTTCAGCTGGTCTTTATTTATTTCTTTTAGTTTAAATATTTGTCTTATGGTCTGACACGACATTCACCGTATCTCCATTATCGCCCCATGAGCCAATCAATCTGCTATTTCAGAACGACATCATGCGGCAATTATGAAACTCTGGCACCATAGTTACTACATTGCGTGATTAGCGAAGAATAGTAATCTTCTTTGTTTTATTAGCTGGAGGTGGGGTTGAACTAGATGGAAAGTAAGGTGAGAGGAATTATAAGTAAGAGGTTTTTGATTCAAGACTTCTCACTTATTAAAAAAAAAGAAAAGTTCTTTGTTTTATTGTATTCTTAACTGTATATAAACCATTTTGAGCTCCACAACTGAGGATATATATGAAGTGTCTGATCCGGCGTTATCATCAGATCATGCGTGCATTTTCGAAGTAGAGGTCAGCCATCATCTTTCTGATAATGCAAGGCATGGTCGTCTGCTCAGCAAACTAGACCATGCGCGCATTTTTGAAGTAGAGGTCTGCCATCATCTTTCTGATAATGGAAGGTATGGTCGTCTGCTCAGCAAACTATGTACCTCTCACTCCCATTAGCTTCCTAGAGCGTGCAGCATTTGTTTATGGACAAAGGGTCTCCATGGTTTTTGGAGATACACGGTATTTGTGGAAGGAGACGCATGAAAGATGCATCAGGCTGGCTTCTGCTCTTTCTCAGTTGGGAATTACCAGCGGCGACATCGTGAGTTTCTCATCAACCCATCTATAATATTTGAATTCTGATTTTAGTAAGAGAAAAAGGATTGAGAAATGAAACTATAGCTCTAGCCCTCCTTCTTTTTTTTTCTATAATTTTTTTTTTGGGAGGGGGTTTTTGAAGGGTTGCAGTGATTACACGGATTTGGCTCCTCTCTAATAGATTTACTCTCCATTTCCCATCCACAATATACGTCTGAATTCATGACATGTGTTCTGATTTACTAGAAAAGAATATGATCATTTTAAATTTAACTAATTCTAATCGTTGTTAATATATAAAGACACGTGTCATTCATCTAGATATACAATACGAGAACTGGAGAGAGAATCCGTTGGAGAGAAGTCAATGATTCCACTAGTCTACAAATTGATAAATTGATGAGATAAATTGATTTGAGGCTACAAAATTGATGGACTCATTGGAGTTCAGTCTAGTGTGAGTTTCTTCAGTCAAGTGTTTAAAACGCGTATTTGGTACGGGGCCTAAGTGTTGTTGACCATTCACACTATAGCATGAAGTGCGTGTCACGGAAAACACCCGGCATATGGTCTTCTTTTTTTTTTTTTTTTTTAGTTTCAATAAAAAATTCCTAATTTCTTTTTCATGACTTTGTTTCTTATACTTTTTTTTCTCATGTAGTTTATGTCAACATATCATTATTCGCTGTTAACATGATTAGATGACTAATTTGTAAGCTAGAATTGAGGCCTTGATGCTTCGTGATTTTGTTATTAAAGAAACATAAAGGTGTGGGTGTGAGCAATTGAGCATTACATAAGATCTCATAATTTCTAGCAAAAACATATTGAAATTTAGGATTTTAAGTTTGTTATTGATGATTTTATTGCTTAATTTTGTTGTGATTTATTTGAATATGATTTTAATTTGGTATGCTATATATTGATACTTGTAAATTGAGTTTGTTTGAACCATTGGGCTGTGTTTGTTATTTTATAATTTTGCTTGTTAGATAACAATACTTCATTTATGATTTTTCTTAATTATATCAAATGCTTTTGTATTTATTAGTATTATATGTGTGTGTATAATTTTTACATTAGTATTGTCTTTTCTTATTATTTTAAATATGAAAAAAATTCAAAATTTGTGGGGTTTACACTCAGGACTTTCGTCCTAATTGGTTGAACATATAATACCTTGTCTAACACCTTCGCCCAAAGCTTCACCTTGGTTCAATCATTTATGTTGCCGTGCTGGTTTGTTTTGGATTGAGAAATTTGATGAAAGATTTAAAATCCGACCAAATTGCTCTAGTTATTTAAATTGTTTAAGATACAATTAGATTTGTTATTCATAAATTATCTAAATACATTTTAAACACTCAAAAATTGATAATTTTCTAATCCAGATATCTCTTTAAGTAATTCAAACAACTCGACAAATTTGAGAGGATTTCAAATCTTTCGTCAAATTCTTCAATCAAAACAAACCATAAGGAATTTTGAGTTCGATTTTCGGTTAAGATAACCATGATCCATGCCTATATTAGCCAGAAAACCTTTAGTCTTAACTCTTAGTCTCTCATGCGGTGCATGAATGACAGGCCGAGCAGGATCATTTCGTTGATCATTCTCTAATTTGTCCTTTTGTGGGACGACCATGGATAGTCCTGAACTTAATTAGAGCTCTTCAACATTTTTTCGGCTTTTATTAAGTGAACAATTCGTTAAGTAATCAGCCTTGACAATTTACCTAGTTAATATCAGATCCTTAACACCTAATAAATTTCTGATGAATCTATTATTCATCTGCAGATTTCTCTTTTTTTTTTTTTTAAAGCCGATAGATTTCTTTCTGATATAAACTTCCATTCAAGAGTTGGGCAATTTTCTATGTGAAAAGTTACTGAAGAAATTGAAAATCCTTTTTGTCTCGATAGGTTGCAGCTGTGGCGCCCAATATACCAGAACTTTATGAGCTGCAATTTGGAGTTCCAATGACCGGTGCTGTCCTTTGTGCCCTTAACCCAAAGTTGAATGCAACGACTTTAGCCGTCAAACTGCAGCAGCTAGAAGCCAAAGCAATTTTTGTAGATTATGAGTTTACCAAAGTCGTCCTGGAAGCGCTTGGATCATTATCTCAGACTAAAAACAATTCTCCAGTCCTAATCCTAATCCAAGAAAACCATACAAATGCTTCCTCAGCCACTCCAATTAACTTTCGACTGGATTATCATGCACTTCTTGCAACAGGGAAACTGGATTTCGATATCAGCTATCCTAAATCCGAATGCGACCCAATTTCAATATGTTATACTTCTGGCTCCACCAGCAAACCAAAAGGAGTGATCTACAGCCACAGAGCTGCCTATCTAAATTCACTTGGAGAAATTTTTAGAATAGGCATGCGACAAAAGCCCGTGTTTCTTTGGACAGTAGACATGTTCCGATGCAACGGTTGGTGTTTCCCCTGGACGATGGCCGCATTGGGAGGCACTAATATATGTCTCAGAGATGTAACGGGGACAGCCATTTTAAATTCCATTTTTCTTCACGATGTCACCCTATTTTGCGGTCCACCAATCCTCTTAAGCAAGATTGCTGAAACGCTAGCAGCTGATCCGCAACCGTTGCCTCAGAAGGTGGATGTTATTGTTGCAGGCGCAGGAGCATTGCCCGAACCCCAAATTCAAACCAAACTCGGTGAATTAGGTTTCAATATTATTTGTGCATATGGGATGAGTGAAGCTCTTGGTCCAGTAACGTCGAGAACAATTAGAAGATCCTGTCACGGCGTAACGTCGCAGCTAGATCATGAAGATGCTAGAACAAGAATTCGCGAAGGAACGCACAACCTAATAATTGAGGGAGCCGATGTAAAACATCCTACAACCATGGAAAGTGTCCCAGCTGATGGGAAAACTGTTGGACAAATAATGTTTAGGAGCAATACATTAATGTCGGGGTACTTGAAAAATGCTCAGGCAACTGAGGAAGCCTTTGAGGGAGGATGGTATAGGACGAAGGACCTTGGAGTGAAGCATCCTGATGGTTATATACAAATGAAGGATCGGGCCATCGATGTGATCAACAGTGGGGGTGAGATTGTAAGTTCTTTAGAAATTGAAGGCGTGATAATTAGGCACCCTATGGTTTCAGAGGTTGCAGTTGTTGGAAGGCCTGATGAGTTACTTGGGGAGACACCTTGTGCTTTTGTGAAGTTGAAAGACGGGTGTTGTATTGTTGAGGAAGAGATTATGGATATTTGTGCTAGTCATTTGCCTGAGCATATGAGGCCTAAGAGTGTTTTCTTTGGGGAATTGCCCGTAAATTCCACTGGTAAAGTACAAAAATTTGTTCTTAGAGATAGGCTAATTAAGGGGGATGGGAAGTCCCTCTAGCTTAGCGTTCATCTGTATCTATCTCTTTCTGCGACTTTTCATGACAGTTCATATTTTCTTAATCAACCACCATGGTCCCTCTCGAAACCCCCCAAAAAAAAAAAAAAAAAGAGTTATTGGTCATGAGAAATAAATTGATCTCATGAATGACGTTTCTCGACCATGGACATGGAGCCCCATCCATCTGGAACAACTATATTTGAGAATGGTTGATGGTGCATTTTTTTTAAAAAAGAAAAAAGAAAAAAGAATACATATCAAACAATTTGTGCAAATTAATGATTATGATTCTAAGAACGCATGTTTGTCTACCGTTAGGTTGGTAATCCTAAATGAAGCTTTTGATTATACAAATCATAATATATTTGAATTTTGGGACAAATAAATGCAATGGAGCATTTGGTTGATCCTTTAGCGTTCCTGTCACAAAATGACCTCTTCTTTCACAAAAGTGCATTATTATATTGAACCAAGGCGAAGACGTTAGACAAATATTATATGTTCAACTAGTGAGGACGAGAGTCATGAGTGTAAACCCCACAAATTTTGAATTTTTTTACAAATTTTGAATTTTTTTAATTTAAAAATATATATAAAAAAAGACAATACTACTATAAAAATTACACACATATATATATGTGTGTGTGTGTGTATGTGTATTATTAATAAATACAATATATAGCATACCAAATTAAAATCATGTTCAAATAAATCACAACAAAATTAAGCAATAAAGTCATGAATAACAAACTTAAAATCCTAAATTTCAATATGTTTTTGCTAGAAATTATGAGATCTTATGTAATGCTCAATTGCTCACACCTACACCTTTATGTTTCTTTAATAACAAAATCACGAAGCATCAAGGTCTAAATTCTAGCTTACAAATTAGTCATCTAATCATGTTTACAGCGAATAATGATATTTTGACATAAACTACATTAGTAAAAAAAGTATAAGAAATAAAGTCATGAAAAAGAAATTAGGAATTTTTTATTGAAAAAAAAAAAAAAAAAACCAAATACCGGGTGTTTGCCATGACACGCACTTCATGCTACCGGATAGATGGTCAACAACACTTAGCCCGTCCCAAATACGCGTTTTAAACACTTGACTGAACTCAAGAAACTCACACTAGACTGAACTCCAATGAATCCATCAATTTAGTAGCCGCAAATCCATTATCTCATCAATTTATCAATTTGTAGACTAGTGGAATCATGGACTTGATTTCTTTTCAATGGATTCTCTCTTCAGTTCCCACAGTATATATCTAGATGCATGACACGTGTTTTCATTTATTAATAAGGGTTAGAATTAGTCAGATTTAAAATGACCATATCCTTTCCTAATAAATGAAAACACATGTTATACATCCAGATATTCAGATATACATTGAGGATGAAAAATGAAGAGAGAATCTATTAGAGAGTACTCAAATCCGTGTAATCACTACACCCCTTCAAAAGCCCCCTCCCCCAAAAAAAAAAATTAGAGAAAAAAAAAAGAAGATCCTTTTTCTCTTACTAAAATCAGAATTCAAATATTATAGATGAGTTGATGAGAAACTCACAATGTCGCCGCGGGTAATTCCCAACTGAGAAAGAGCAGAAGCCAACCTGATGCATCTTTCATGCGTCTCCTTCCACAAATATCGTGTATCTCCAAAAACCATGGAGACCCTTTGTCTATAAACAAATGCTGCACGCATTAGGAAGCTAATGGGAGTGAGAGGTACATAGTTTGCTGAGCAGACGACCATACCTTCCATTATCAGAAAGATGATGGCTGACCTCTACTTCGAAAATGCGCGCATGATCTGATGATAACGCCGGATCAGACACTTCATATATATCCTCAGTTGTGGAGCTCAAAATGGTTCATCTACAATTAAGAAAACAATAAAACAAAGAATTTTTTTTTTATAAGTAAGAAATTTTGAATATAAAACCTCCTACTTATAATTTCTCGTACCTTACCATCAAGTTCAATCCCACCTCCACCCAATAAAACAAAGAAGATTATTCTTCGCTAATCACACAATGAGGTAACTAGAGTTTCAGAATTGTTGCACGATGTCGTTCTGAAATAGTGGAGATGCAGTGAATATCGTGGCAGACCATAATACAAATATTTCAACCAAAAGAAATGAATAAAGACTAGCTAAAGTGATCAAGACAAGGACGTCACTGCGCTGATTCAGCAAAAATGAATCAGCAATTCCTTTTTATCGCGGGAGAACATGCAAAAAAAAGCAATTTCTCCGTTGCTTTCTTTAAGCTGATCACGCGAGGGCGGCGACGAAGACTATTATGCATGCGGATGTCGAACCATCATCCATTATTTGACAATCTTGACACTCTAGAGACGCGGATGAAGAGCGCGTTTTCTTGCAACTTTTTAGTTCCACCTTTAATATCAACTGCGTGTCCAGAAATCTACATGGCAATTGATGGATATTGAAATACTTAAGAGCTAGCCTCCAATTCTTCATCATTTGGTATCCGATGTAGAATTTAACTTATCCTGGTCAGCTTTATGTTTGGATGGGCCAACCATCATGTTAAGAAATTGGCTTAATTTCTTCTAGGTAGATTTCTTGTTTTGTATGGAAGTAACTAGTTTCCTAATTATTTTTAGTTACTTGAAGTAGTAGTCAAGGAATTTCCTATTTATATGAGTAGTTAAGAATAGAAGTTATTCCATATTCTAAATCAGTGGAGGAATTAGTGGAGGAATTAGTATTGGTTTCCTATTATTATTTGAGTTTTGACCAAATAATATTCTCTATAAATAGGTGAGTTGACATATTACAAAGAGACATACAAGGAGCACAAAAGGCAATATGTAGCCTTATACATGGGGGTGAGAGAGGGTTCTTGGGAGATGAGAGATGGTATACAAAGGTTGGATTTGGGTTCAAATTGTATTCTTATATAGGGTTTTTCTCTCATATTAAAGAACGGGTTTCTCTCCATGAACGTAGGTTCAATGGTGGAAACGAACCACGTTAAATATTGTGTATTGTTTATTTTTCATACTTCTGGCTTATTTGTCATTAAATTATTGTGTACTTGGCATCTCAATAGTTGTGTGTTCCGCGCTTGGATCCTAATACGTCATTCTTGATAAAACTTAACATGTGTAAATGTTCTATTTTGAATTTTAAATCCTGTCTTTCTTGACATTTGGGTTTGAGAGTAGAAAGTTTTGATAATAGGGTTGAAAAAAATGCATAAAACAAGAAAAGAATAGAGTGAATCCATTCAAGCAAAATGAATTGGAATAGTAGTATTACGTTGATTTGTTTGATGTCTTCTAGAAGTATTCTAAGGCTAAATTTTTTTTAAAACAAATGTTGTGTCCGGGATTGGTTGATAAGAATCCATTACCTAATTGCTCTTCTATTCTAGTTTAGAATTGCACCAAAGAAAGGGAAAATAGTTGAGCTTTAAGATTTAAAACTAACTTCTTATCTCCTGCGACTACACCATTTTATGTGCCTCATTCGTTTCTTTTCCACTTCCATCAAAATTTATTATCCAACTTCTAGAGACCCCCTACACTTCATAACCATGCACAATTATTGGGAGGTTATGCTGAATATTTCATCAACTTCTGTGATTCAAAAGAAAAGAGAAGAAAAGATACAAAAGAAGAGAGAAGGGAAGTTTTGGCATGGGTTTAACTGGAGAAAATTAGAGATGAAATAAAACATCTATTTGAAGTGCTTTGACAATAGACTATACTTATAGAATAGCAATGTTCTTATCTTTCAACTCATAAAATCTAAAGTTAAGAGCCAAGCCCCCTTTTCCAGTCCCCTTCCACCCTACCAAAACATTCATGTAGAACAAAAACATTCTCTTGACATATGGTAACACTAAAAACCATAGCAACTTTGATCTTGCATATGTGTAGAGAGAGATAGAGGGTGTGTGTGTGTGTGTGTTATTGTGTCATGTGTGCTTGTCTTGGAGGAGAAAAACTTTGATAAAAAAAAAAAAAAAAAAAGAGTGGGGCGTATTTTTTTGGTAGGGATGCAATGGTTCAATGCCAGCGTGTGGTTGAGGCGGCAACATTTCTCCGCTATGGCAAGAAAAAGGAAAGAGGGGAAAAAAGGTATGAGCTCCAAAAAAATTAACTTATCAAAATCGAAGGCCAATATTAAAAAGATTTAACAAAGAAAACTCTCCTGTCGTTTTTGTAGCAGTCTAATTGTAAAGCATGTTCTTTTCAAAGAAAGAGGAGATTTCCACACAACAACGTCAACCATTTTAACAAGTCTATCATTGGGTTCATTTGTCTACCAACGAAAATAATGGCAACTATTCTTAATTTGTAATCAAATGCCCAAGGGTTTTGAGAATCCCATTCAATATATATATATATATATATATATATATATATATATATATATATATATATATATATATATATATTTTGGGGGAAAGAATCCCAGTCCAATTTACTTTTATACAATTTCCGTTCCAATTTCAACTCCCAAGCATTTATACAAGGGAAAAGAAAAAAAAGACAGACCTGTTCATCCTTTTCGTTTAAATAAGGCATTATCTCATAGAGCAATTCCACCTTGTATGTAGAATTAATGACACTAAAATGTATAAGTTGGATTCTACTATAAAATCAACAGTCCTTTCTAGTTTTTTTTTTAACGAAAAACATCAACGGTGAGACCCCACCCATCCCTTGCTGACTCCAAGGCACGAAGTTTTTAGTTAATGATCAAGATCAAATTTTAGTTGACTGTTTAGTCCTAAATGCTGAATGCGAATCCACTTGGTGCACTGGAGTTAATTTGATAGAATAAATAGTAATAGTGATTTATTTTTCCTCTATCATTGCCAAAATCGTTCATCTAGGCCGATGACTTCTGCTGGTAAGTTACTTTTTGTGGGTGAAAAAGAATCAAAATCGTGATCATGGAAAGACATATATAGAACATTTGAAGCAAAGGACAGAGGGTGGTTCACAAAAATGAAACTAACCTTTGAAGCTTTCAACATTCTATGAAAACAAGTAAAAGTCGAACTTTTGCAGTTTTTCTATTTAGCATTTGGGCGTTTAGTCTGGTAATGATTTCATCCTAATGTTCCTCGAATTGACTTGTTCAATCCTATATACGCCATGGACATAACAAGTCAACGCCAGTCTTCTTAAGAAGAAGTAATCAAGGGGCTAAACAATGCTGAAAGTCGCGAATACGCACTAAACTGAAATTACTTAAACCAGGAGCATCCCTGGTTTGAAACTTTGAAACGGTATATAATCTATAAACTTTGAAACGGTATATAATCTATAAACTAATCAGGAGCATCCCTTACAGTAATCCTTTATATACCCATATAATCAATCCCCCAATTATCATCATTAAGGCACAAATCTGAGACAATTTGAGAAGCAAGAAAGATGAGGAATTTGATCGTGATTGTGTTATCACTGGCCCCATTGTTATCTTCAGTTGCTGGCGGCGATATTGGCCCCCTTATCAGTCCAGCACTTTTTAATCAAATGCTGAAATATCGTAACGACCCCAGATGCTCCAGCAATGGCTTCTATACTTACAATGCATTCATCACTGCTGCAAAATCTTTCGGTGCCTTTGGAACAACGGGTGATGTTAATATTCGTAAACGGGAAATTGCGGCATTCTTAGGCCAGACTTCACATGAGACTACAGGTCAGGCTGAACATTTGTTCTCATATAATTTTTTTTTAAATTTTTTCCAAGTGATAAAAATGGTTAAATTAAACCATATATATATATATATTTTGCATTTTTGTTGCTGTCCAGGTGGGTGGCCAAGTGCACCAGACGGTCCATATGCATGGGGTTATTGCTTCGTGAAAGAAAAGGGAGCATCTGGGACTTTCTGTGATTCTCCAGACTGGCCGTGCCCTGCTGGTAGACAATACTACGGCCGAGGACCCATACAACTCACTCAGTAAGTTCACTAGTACTCTTAAACTAATTTGGGATTTATTTGGAAATTAAACATGATTAAATTAACCCCATACATACAACTTTTGTGCATAAACAACTACTTTCTTCTTCTTCTTCTTCTTCTTCTTTTTTAACAATTAACCCATTCCTAACCATATAGTATAAGGAATGGGAATAATCCAACTGGGTCAATATAGGGTTAGGGAAATTGAACTATCTCAGAACCAAACGGACGCACTATCGCACCCGCACCCGTTGGACTTGTCTTCCCGGATAAACCCCAGTAAAGACCTCACTTCCTAAGAGTGACTTTAGCCCCCCTTGGTGCCATTGGACTAAAGTCCTGTAATTTTTGTGTATAAACAACTACTGGTGTACTTTTTGGGTGCAAAATTAACGTGAGTTTCCATCGACTTGCATAAAACAGTTGTCATTTTTAATATTTCCATCGCAGCAACTATAACTATGGAAAAGCTGGCAAAGCAATCGGAGTCGATCTCATAAACAATCCAGACTTGGTGGCGACAAATGCAGTAATATCATTCAAGACGGCAATTTGGTTCTGGATGACGCCGCAGGGGAACAAGCCCTCAAGCCACGATGTCATAACTGGGAGATGGACTCCATCCGGTGCTGACAGGGCAGCTGGTAGAGTCCCAGGTTATGGTGTTATCACCAACATTATTAATGGCGGACTCGAGTGTGGCAACTGGCAAGGGTCCTAATGATAAGGTGGCCGATAGGATCGGGTTCTATAAGAGATACTGTGACTTGTTTAGAATTGGCTATGGAAATAATCTGGATTGTTACAATCAGAGGCCTTTTGCCTGAGTCTTTTTTCCCATTGCAGAGGAAAAATTTACATTTTAATCCAAATAAATTGCTCTGCTGTGAGCTATCAAGAAATGTACTTTGGGGTTTACCCCAAAGAAATTACATATAATAAATGAATAAATAACATCCTATTGTTTGGACCATATGATAATCTCTCAAATTCTGCCATGAACTCCTCGTAATTTCTATATTGCGGCTTCAGAATGATTATTGATCTATGCCCATGCCGGGAACTATTATTCAAACTTAGCTAGCCGGCATGCTAAAGAATATTTTATGTCACTTTTAAATTTCTATAATTACATTCATGGAATACTTTTCTTGTTTGATCATAAAACTACACAGCATAAACCATTAACTTCTCATAACTTTCAATTTTCCTTTTTGGACAATATTTTCTGTTGATTTCCACACAGCTTTCCTTGGATAAGTAATTCACAACTAACAAATGACTATCCTTGGTGGAAAGAATACTAAAAAAAAAAAACAGTTTGTATCAAATTAATTCATACAAAAGTTTATTAATTCTAAATTGCACACACATGGGTTGTGTCATTTGCACTAGTATGGACTGTCTCAAATCTCAAACGAGGAAGTTCAGTCTGCCAATACTCAAACAGAAGGACTCTCATATGCTTAAGGTTTCTTTGAGCTTAAAAATTAAGTTTCACTGGATAAACACAAAATGATGCAACTATTCCTTGATGAACATAAAGGTTGATATAATGGTTGCAAGAAAATCAAGACGATGAGGGTTTAATCGCATCAAATAAGGTTGTGTTTGGATTGCATTTTTCGTGATTTTTCATGGAAAAATTACTGTAGCGATTTGATTTATGTGAGGAAAAAAAGTAATAGGGAAATGTGATCATGGAAAATGACGTAATTTTTCGACGGAAACCGGCAATCCAAACAAGTTCTTAGTTTTCAGCTTAAGGTTGAATTTTAAGTAAATGATCATTATTGCATGTCTCAATGACTGACATAACACCACCATACAACAGTCACATAACATTGTAAACTCTAAATTGATGGCGTATCACTACACCCCTCCTTAATAATATATTCCCTTTCCATTCAATCATTGCAGAATTTCCATAAAGTACGTTGTTAGACTGTGTCAAACTCAAAATAATTCTCTCAAACGTCACTGAGTACCACTCTTGAACACAAAGTACACCTTTGCAGGCTAGCCACAGTCACAGTTACTAATTTTAGTAAGTCAACCCAGTCTCCCTGGCAAACTTCCATTTGATAATGATATTTATAGGGGATAATTTCAGAAACCTCCCCTGAGGTTTCTGACACTTTCACTGACATCCCCTGAGGTTCTCAAAATTTCACTTACCTCCCTTGATAAAAAATTGGGCCCCTTTTCTGACGTCATCAGGGCCAAAATTACAGATATATCCCAAGTAGTTGGGGTTAATTACTACCGTTTATGTTTAAGTTACATAATGAATTTTCTTATTCTTTACGTACCTATTCTTGTCATGCAAGATTACACGCCTGACTTCAAATTACGTACTTTGCAAGAAAATGTCTGTGGAGTCATTTGTTACAAGACAAGAAGTTCAATCAAATAAGAACAATTTATGTACACAGGTGGGATTGGGAATTCAAGCTTGTCCTTTTTGGTATTTAGGATAATGTTTTTATATGAACTCAAGGAAGATGGATAGCCTATTTTGCAAGGTTATTAGGTAATTTACCTTTGTGGAATTCTTGATATCAAGCCATTTGATTGCTAATGTGGACAGGTGGCTTAAGCGCGTAATAAGTGCCATGGATTCGAAGTTCGGCTGAAATATCACATATCGAACGAAGTCTTTATTAGAAACCTAATTAGAAACCTATTAGAGTTCAGTGAGCTCTCGTACTAAGCTCCACCGCCAACCCTCCATTTCGAAAAAAAAAAGACAAAAGCAAAACAAAAGCAAACACACGAAGCGCAGAATAACGTTGAAACCCGCAAGCGGGATTATGTGTTTTTTCTATTTCAAGGTTAGCTCGCATGCGGGTTAATGTTATATTTGAGCGCGAGAAGAAAAAATTGGTAATTAGGCTCTTTGGGCATTATAAGTAAATATTTAAATTAATGGCAGTTTTATTACACCAATATTATTGTATTATCATTATTATGATTATTGTATTATTTCTTATGCAAATATAACATTTAATTATTTAAATTTGATTTTATTTTTACAATTTATAAAATTTTTATCACTTATATAATATTTTTAAAACCCTAATACATCTAAATTTGATTTTATTTTTCAAATTTATAAGATTTTTATTTAAAAAAATGGGATACGGATAAGATATCCGGTTGGTTCGATTTGCATAGGTGCATATGAGAATATCCGAATACTCCTGAAACCCGCAAGCGGGATTCTGTGTTTTTTCTATTTCAAGGTTAGCTCGCATGCGGGTTAATGTTATATTTGAGCGCGAGAAGAAAAAATTGGTAATTAGGCTCTTTGGGCATTATAAGTAAATATTTAAATTAATGGCAGTTCTATTACACCAATATTATTGTATTATCATTATTATGATTATTGTATTATTTCTTATGCAAATATAACATTTAATTATTTAAATTTGATTTTATTTTTACAATTTATAAAATTTTTATCACTTATATAATATTTTTAAAACCCTAATACATCTAAATTTGAATCTAATTTTCTACAAGTCATACTTATAAATGCGAAATCTAACAAAAAAGTTAAATACAATTTTTGCAGGTCAAATTTAACAAATGCGAGCTATTTGCAAAATTTTAAATATTTGCAACATTTTTTAAAACAAAAATTAGAAGCTTTCTGCAAATAATTCCCTACCTCTCAAAAAATACCAAAATAAAAAAGATAAGAGCTCGCATTTGCTTCCTAGAAATAATTCCCTAGCTCTTAAAAAAGGAAAAAAAAAATTGAGAAGAGCTCGCATTCGTGGAATGCGAGCTCAATAACCAAAGCTCGCATTCCACGAATGCGAGCTCTTGTAAGTTCGCATTTGTGAAATTCACAAATGCGAAGACCCCCCTGACGGAAATTAAACCCAAAATCACCCCTTTTGTATAATTTTTTTAAAATTCATCACAAAGTTGGAAATTTCTCAATAGAAATACAACTTGTCTGGATTCCTTTCACTCTCTGATATCATTACGGTTGCTTTGCGATTACAGCGGCAAAACCTGTTTTTAATGGAGAAAGATGTAGGTGAATTCCATGATTCTCCCCTATGGCTTGAAGAGGCCATGGTTGCAGCTAAAACTTTTTACTCAGAACTCTAATTGTAGCACAGCAAATGCACTTGTTATCACTCCAAATTAGTAGCAAAGAATGTTAATAGCTTGAAACCTCAGAGGTAGTTAAGTTGCTTTGCTTTATATGCTATTGCTACTGAAACAGCAAACCTTCTGGCCGTTGCAATTTGCAGCTAGCCGTTGCAAAATCTGCCAAATAACTGTTGCATGGCACATCTGGTGCATGCAATTTTTTGTATTGCACTTACCCCCCTCAACTTTACTAATTAGTCCAAATCATTTATTCTTCTTTGAATCTTCTACTAATACAACTTCTGCAAAGGGTAGCTATGGAATAAAAATACCTTCTCACACATGAAAATAATATTTTAATCTGATTTGGACTGGATTGTTACCACAAAATCAAAAGCAAGGGAGGTAAGTGAAATTTTGAGAACCTCAGGGGATGTCAGTGAAAGTGTCAGAAACCTCAGGGGAGGTTTCTGAAATTATCCCTATTTATAGCCAAGAACCAGTCAACGAGCTGAGGAATGCTGAAAGTCAAGTACACCAACTAAACTCAAATCACTGAGCAACCAACTTTGAATTGGTATACTTTCTTTAAGGTAATCTGTAATCAGAACCGAACCATTGATTGAACCTTTAAATACCAGCAATCGATCCCCTCTTATCTTCATCCATAGACTCAGACAAATTGAGAAGAGGCAAGAAAGATGAGAAATTTGATTGTTATTATATTATCTCTAGCACCATTGCTAACATTGTCATTAGCAGAACAATGTGGTAAACAAGCTGGAAATGCTCTGTGCCCAAATCGGCTTTGCTGCAGCCAGTACGGTTGGTGTGGCTCTACAGCTGATTATTGCACAAATGGCTGCCAGAGCCAATGCAAGAACGGTGGTGGTTCATCCCCTACGCCATCTAACCCCACCCCATTCCCCGGTGGCGGAGCTGGCATTGACTCACTTATCAGTCCAGCCCTTTTCAACCAAATGCTCAAATATCATAACGATCCAAGATGCTCCAGCAATGGGTTCTATACGTACAATGCATTTATCACTGCTGCAAAATCTTTCAATGGCTTTGGAACAACTGGTGATGTTGCTACTCGTAAAAGAGAAATTGCTGCATTCTTGGGCCAGATTTCACATGAGACTACAGGTCGGGCTGATTTTTTTTTTTTTAAAAATTTTTTCGTTTCATTGTTATCATTACTCTGTATTCCTGTTTTTTTTTTTAAATTCATCAAAAAGACTAAGATAAGGAGGGATTTTTTCCTATTTTGGGGGGGGCTGCTAAAAGTTTAGTATTGCTTGATTTTGAGCAGGCGGGTGGCCAAGTGCACCAGATGGTCCGTATGCATGGGGTTATTGCTTCATAAAAGAAATAGGTGCCTCGGGGTCTTTCTGTGATTCTCCAGACTGGCCTTGCCCTGCCGGTAGACAATACTATGGCAGAGGCCCCATACAACTCACTCAGTAAGTTTAGTAACTAGTTCGTCACAATTGATACTGAAATTTTATACACGATTAAAATCCATGCAAGTCGAACTTCTAGGGAAATGTAAGGAGTATATATTACAGTAAGCGTGCTCATTAGAGATCAACATGTTGGAGCAAAAACTAATAAATTCGGATTGCCAGTTCTGCACAATGCTTATCAATCCGTAAATGGACGTTGGCTACACCTTAATCTTGGCGTTTAATCATCCAAAATTCTATTTTGACAAATAAAAATAAATTTCCTTTGGCTCTGAACCCTGGAAAGCTCACCAAATGAAATGATATTGAGTTAATTAGAGTACAAATCTATCGAACGTATACTTTCATAGTTTCTACCTTGGAAGCATATTTTGCTGAGTTTTGGAATCTAGCGTTTTTAGCATGCAGCCTACATGAATTCACGTAGTATTATAATTCATATACCCAGTAGTACCCTGTTCAACTTTTTATGTTTTTGCTGGAGATAGGGCTGTTAATGGGCTGGGTTTGGACCCGGACCCGATATTTTTTTTTTTTCGGGTATGGATTAAGAAATAATTCCGTTACTCGGGCCCGTTTACTTTCATAAAAAGTAGATCGGATACGGAATATAGAATTCCAACCCGTATCCAACTCAGACCTGAACAATGCATTAATGATTATAAAATATAAATATTTATAAATACACAAATAATTCTTTTGCTAAATTAACAAATCCTAATCTTGTTGGGGCCTTATTTCTAAATATAATAATATTTCTAAATACATCATTTCTAAATACAATAATATGAATATTTCAAAATACAATAATATTTCTAAATACATTATTTTTGTTGGGTTTTATTTTTTCTGGTAGACTCGGACCCAAGACCTGTCGAACCCAATTCTGGAACTCTAAACACTAGACTTGTCAAATATATGGGTCGGTACCGAAATTGTCACATTATAATGGGTTCGGGTTCAAAATTTTCAATTCTGACCCGACCCCGACCCGTTGACAGCTTTAACTGGAGAGGAAAATACTTGGGCACGATTAATTTATTACTAGTAGATAGATGATTACATTCAAAAGAAACGACAAATTGACGAGGATAAAAACAAGAAGTCCAGACATACAAATCACATATTATCATGTTTCCGTTGTGGACTTTAATAACCAGAAGACAAAAAAATTGGTAATGAAACTTTGATCACTTGCTAGCCGTTTTAAACTTCATAGCATCTATTTTTTTAGGTAACCTAACTTAAGTCGCCACCCCATGGAATGGAATTTTAAACTGATGGCTAGGATTAAGGAAACCTAAACTAAGCCACCATGACATGAAGGAATCTCAAACTTGCGGAGTACTTGCTAGTTCCTACTACAATTGAAACTAATTAAATGCATGGTGTCAAAAAGATCAGTTATTCTTGACCTTGGGCATTGATTTTACATCTTTTCTTTCCTTCTTTCACCAGCAATTACAACTATGGAAAAGCCGGCAGAGCAATTGGAGTGGACCTGATAAACAATCCGGACTTGGTAGCAACAGATGCTGTGGTTTCATTCAAGACGGCAATCTGGTTCTGGATGACACCGCAGGGAAACAAACCTTCAAGCCACGCCGTCATTACTGGGGGATGGACCCCATCCATCCAGTGCTGATAGGGCGGCTGGAAGGGTTTCAGGTTATGGTGTTATTACCAACATTATTAATGGTGGACTCGAGTGTGGCATGGGTCCTAATGCTAAGGCGGCTGATCGGATTGGGTTCTACAAGAGATATTGTGATATATTCAAAATCGGCTATGGAAATAATCTGGATTGCTACAGTCAAAAGCCTTTTGCATGAATGTTTTGCAATGAAATTGGAAGATTTAACGATGAAGGGATTCATTTGTTTGATCATGTTTAGCCCGAATAAATTGCTCTATTACGAGTGATGAAGAAGTGCATTTGATGGATTTTACTGCAATAAGATTTTGAAGATGTTTTTATTTTTAATTTTGATGATTTGATGCCCATCACTAATCTGTTAGCATCTCATGATATGTTTTTGGTTAATTTTGCAAAGTACCAAGTAGTATGATGTGGTATGTATGAATTTTCTAAAAAGCATGCAAAATAATATATGAAGAGTAAAGTGGAATTAACGAAGTCTAAGGGACAGTTGCTCCAATCCTTTCAAAACCTGGGTTGGGGACAAAGGAAAACGCTAACAAAATAGCAACCCTTTCAAATCCTGAGAAAATGTGAGACCAAATATTGTCTGAATAAAATGCAAAAGTAGAGTAGAAAAATTCAGAGGAAATTCTTGAACGCATGTAGTAAATTTCTTGCACGCTCATTGATTTAGAGGAATAAAGACCTCTATACGCCTATAGGACACTATACTCTAAGAATTGTCCAATACATACCACAAAGTGCATAGGATAGGGGAATACCATTCACTTGATATCAAATATAATTTGAAATGGACTGTTCTGTTCAATTCTATTCAGATGGCTGCACTTGCAATCAGGAAGAAATCAGAATCTGGATGAAGATCAAACTCCTCAAGACACATTTTCGCAGTTGCTGTGTGCAGGACATGCTGTCCCCTGGACTTTCTTGGGAATTGACTTGTTCCAAACTTGCAACACCGATCCTCCATGTTCCTGCATGGCAATAGCTCTATCTCTATCGCGTAGGTATTTCGTCATTTAGACTATAAATTATGAATTATGAATCGAGTTTAAATATTATATGCACTTACTGCAACAAAAAATTCATAGATCCGACTGAGTACAGTGCACGCCAAAATATTCGCTACGCTCCCCCCCCCCCCAAAAAGTCTTCTTCGAGGTTTCGGCACATCTGATAAATACTTCACTTTTTATGCATTGACAATGTAGTAATATTACACTAGCAACTATAGAAGTATGAAATATATGTATTATTTGAATTTCAAATTTGAATTTATGTTATACGATATTAATACTATAAATCTGTTAGTGTAAAAAATAATTCTACATTGAAAGTGTATAAAAAACTTATTCATAAAATAAATATACATCGATTGCCAAGAAGGAACGGACTGGGATGTGCACAAGTCCAGGATATACCCTCCCCCTGTCCTAATTCCAAACTTCCGGCGGCATTCCAATTTTCCAACCTTCGATCTTATCTAAACTAATTACTCAATTACAAGTACTATTAAACAAATTTCGGCTGCCCAGCTAGAATCGTTATTATTTTGGCTTTTGGAGACCCAGAGATATGTAAAAAAATCAAACTAAAAAAAAAAAAAGAAAGAAGAAAGTTGTTGGCCTGAATTTCAATCTGTCCATCAACATTATGCCTTTCTACAATTTGATCAAGCAGCTACTTTGTCATTTTATGTAAAATCCACAAATTGAGTTTAATGTAGGGCGTGAGAAAATGCTCCTCAATTTAGTAAAACGGCTTTCTTTTTTGGTTTGATAATAGTAGAAGAATATCGCACAGTTGAACTTGAGACCTGACTGCGTCAAAAAATTCCAGAGACCACAACTAAGCATTATCTTAAGTGACGGTATCGATTATCAAGAAATATGCTAGTGTGACTATGACGTTCCAGTGAATGTCCCAAGTCTTTAAGCTGCCAAAATTGACTTGGAATTTTCAAGAATAATCAAAGAACACGGTCTGAGCCTCTTTACATGCCCACAAGGAATCCCGCTAGAGCTCTATATTTATCCACAAAATTAACCCACAATTGAGAGGCAACAAAACATGAGGAATTGGATTTTGATTCTGTTAACTCTAGCCCCATTGTTCACAACATCATCACTAGCAGAACAATGTGGAAGACAGGCAGGGAATGCTCTGTGCCCAAATGGGCTGTGCTGTAGCCAGTATGGTTGGTGTGGCTCCACCCCCGACTATTGCTCTCCCTCTAACAATTGCCAGAGCCAGTGCAGTGGTTCAACCCCCAGCCCCGGCGGTGGTGGTTCAACCCCTAACCCCGGCAGTGGTACAGGCATTTCCTCCCTCATCAGTCAAGCTCTTTTTGATCAAATGCTGAAATACCGTAACGATCCAAGATGCCCCAGCAATGGGTTCTATAGTTACAACGCTTTTATCACTGCTGCACAATCCTTCCCGGGCTTTGCAACAACTGGTAATGATGAAACTCGTAAACGAGAAATTGCTGCATTTCTGGGACAGACTTCACATGAGACTACAGGTCCGGCTTGATCTATTTATATGTTTTGTTCATTCCTGGCACGATTGATCAAACAATTAAATTACATTTTCCTCTTCGTTTTCTTTGAGTTTTACGTTGCTAAATGGATTTCAATCATGTGTAGGTGGATGGCCTAGTGCACCAGATGGTCCTTATGCTTGGGGATATTGCTTCATAACGGAAAATGGCGCCTCTGGGTCTTTCTGCGATTCTCCATCCTGGCCGTGTCCTGCTGGTAAACAGTACTATGGCAGAGGACCAATACAATTGACTCAGTAAGTTTTCGAGTAGTCTGCTACTTGTCTTCTACCTTAACAGCGGATCGACAAACGAAATTCTCCACATGAAAAAAAAACCCATGTAACAATAATCTGCTTAAAACTAAGGAGGGGGCGACATTTGCCAGAAAGCAATTCACATATTAGTAATGTAGATTTTGATTTTATTTAACACCTATTCCGGAGTTCTTATCAGCTTTTGGCCCAAATTTAAACTTTTTAAGATTTTGCCCTTCCTAAAATGACACAACAAAATAATTCATCAGCCTACCTCATTGGAACATTATAGGTAACTTTGGCAATTGATTTGCATAACACTTTTTTTTTTTTTTTTTACTTTCAGCAATTACAACTACGGTTTAGCTGGCCAAGCAATCGGAGCTGACCTTATAAACAATCCAGACTTGGTGGCAACGGACGCCGTTATATCCTTCAAGACAGCAATTTGGTTCTGGATGACACCACAGTCAAACAAGCCCTCATGCCATGACGTCATCACTGGGGCATGGACCCCATCTGGTGCTGACACGTCAGCTGGTCGAGTCCCAGGATACGGGGTCATCACCAACATTATTAACGGTGGACTCGAGTGTGGCATGGGTACTAATGATAAGGTCGCTGATCGGATTGGATTCTACAGGAGGTACTGTGACCTATTTGGAATCGGCTATGGGAACAATTTGGATTGCTACAATCAGAGACCTTTTGCCTAAAGCCAAACAGGGGACTGGCGAATTACCGTCCTCGTTTAAGCATAAATAACTGTTGTGTGTGACCCATCAAGACCAAGATATGTATTTGATGCGATTTATTATTGGATTTGCACTAATAAAACACCGACAATGAATTGATTTCTAGTTTATTGCCAATTTTGAGAGTCAGAAGATATTGTGTAGTGTATGTTTTTTCAAGGGGAAGATAACACATGAACAATTTTTAAGGTGTAGGTGCGAATAGAAGTGTAAACTAACAGATCAGCTCGCGAGCTACTTACGAGTTAATCAGTCAAATGATCGACTCGACTTGGCATTGACCGAATTCGAATCAATCACAAGCGGCTTGTTTAGTCAAACGAGTTAAATATCCAAAATACCTTCTTTTCTAATGGAACTCGAGTTTGAACTCTTTTGAGTTTGAGTTTTCTCGAACCCAAATGAGTTGAATTCAAGCATTTCAGAAAATATCTAGCTTTTTTTGCATGCAGCCTACATGAATTCACGTAGTATTATAATTCATATACCCAGTAGTACCCTGTTTAACTTTTTATGTTTTTGCTAGAGATAGGGCTGTTAATGGGCTGAGTTTGGACCCGGATCCGATTTTTTTTCCTGGGTATGGATTAAGAAATAATTCCGTTACTCGGACCCGTTTACTTTCATAAAAAGTGGATCGGATACGGAAGATAGGATTTCAACCCGTATCCAACTCAAACCCGAACAATGCATTAATGATTATAAAATATAAATATTTATAAATACAATAATAATTCTTTTACTAAATTAACAAATCCTAATCTTGTTGGGGCCTTATTTCTAAATATAATAATATTTCTAAATACATCATTTCTAAATACAATAATATGAATATTTCAAAATACAATAATATTTCTAAATACATTATTTTTGTTGGGTTTTATTTTTTCTGGTAGACCCAGACCCAAGACTTGTCGAACCCGATTCTGGAACTCTAAACACAAGATTCGTCAAATATATGGGTCGGTACCGAAATTGTCACATTATAATGGGTTCGGGTTCAAAATTTTCAATTTTGACCCGAACCCGACCCGTTGATGCGGTTTCATTATTGGATTTGATGCGATTTATTATTGGATTTGCACTAATAAAACACCAACAATGAATTGATTTCTAGTTTATTGCCAATTTTGAGAGTCAGAAGATATTGTGTAGTGTATGTTTTTTCAAGGGGAAGATAACACATGAACAATTTTCAAGGTGTAAGTGCGAATAGAAGTGTAAACGAACAGATTAGCTCGCGAGCTACTTACAAGCTGATCGGTCAAATGATCGACTCGACTTGGCATTGACCGAATTCGAGTCGATCTCAAGTGGTTTGTTTAGTCAAACGAGTTGAGTATCCAAAATATCTTTTTTTCTAATCGAACTCGAGTTTGAGCTCTTTTGAGTTCGGGTTTGAGTTTGCTCGAACCCAAATGAGTTGAATTTGAGCATTTCAGAAACCCAAACGAGTTGAATTCAAACATTTCAGAAACGTTAGCAAATCGAGTTTAATTTGTAAAATTTCAAGCTTGATTGAGTCGAGTTCGATCTCAAGCAGCGATGTATCAAGTCGAGCTCAAACTCAAGTATAGCACTATTCAGAATTGACTCGACTTGTTTACACTTTTAGTGTCCGAAAGTTTGACTTTCGCATTCAAACATACGCGTTCCAGTAGAAAGTGATGCTAACTGATTTGCAGCAATTACGATAAGCAATGAAATATTTAGAGCACCATGATAAACAAAATCATTGGCTTGGGAAAAATAAATGAGACATACCCTTTTCTCTTTGGTCCTTGCTACTGCCTTTGGTGGAGTCAAAAGACATGGAGAAAGAGAAAAAGTATAATAAAAAAAAAAGTATTGGCAAACATAAATTCTGCAATCCCGCGTCGTCAAAAAGGCTCTAGGGGCCCAATCGAGATCTGTGTTGTAAATTGCAATGCCCATAAGTGAAAAAAAATGTGATGAGCGTAGAGTTTGTCATGTATAGCCTTCTCCTGTTTGTGTAAAAACTCGTTCCAGTACCAGTTTTTGCGATTGCGGGAGATTACATTGATTGATGATACTGATTGATTGGGGCAGGTCCAATGAATTCCAGTCACATTCATCCATTTCAATTTCATCGTTAGGCCCATTATAGTTGGCAAGGGTGAAAAGGTACAAATGGTAATGCGGCGCCGAATAATGGAAAGTAGAGTGAAAATTTTTCTCTGTGCTTTTGGAAACGTGATTGGAGGTGCTTTTGTGGCTCGTTATTGGTCAGTAGTAAAGCGCTAACATACTAATCCTGTAGCTCAATAGCGAGAAGGAAACTCTTGCGCCAAAAATAGCTTGAATTTTGCTGCTTGATGTTTTTTTTTTTCGACATAGGGGTTTCCGGGACCGCCTGACTAATCTCCTGCGGCTGCTTGATGTTATTCTATGCCCCAGAATTTGTTAAATCACTTCTTACCCAAGATTTATGCACGTAGCCTTTAAAACCTGTTTGAATTGCTATTTTTAGGAGTTTTGTAGAAAAATATATTATTCCGATTTGACATATATAAGATAAAAGTTGACTAGAAAATGTAAAAATTTTTTGTGAAAAATCACGATCCAAACAAGGCGTAATTTTGTTAAATCACTTCTTATGGAAGATTCGATGAGAATTCATTGTAGGACACTAATAATGTAGTGGACCCTTTTTTTGTTTTTTTGTAATGTCAATCCATCTCCTCCTATACTATTTCTTTAATTTTTTTGGCTATAAAACGAAACGAAGTAGTTGTAGATTCAATTATTTGATGTTCCACTTTTGGCTTTGTGAGTTATTGGGAGGTTGAAGCCTCAAATAATTTAAGAATTGCCACTTGGGCTTCTGCAAAATTTCTACTACATCCTTTGTGGTGACTGATTATCCTTAAAGCATCTGATCCTTCCAAGAGCAGCCACAATCGCTTCACTCATTCCTTAGGAAATATGGGATGCTTTAATTTTCAGTATAAAAATCCAAACAAAGAGAAAAAAAAAAAAAAAAAAGGAAAAGAAAGATTGCTGTAATCAACATCTATATTGCAAATTTTCTTGGTAGGTTTCCAACTTTCACTTGCCCCTCCCTCTAAATTCTTTAATATATTGGGTTTACATTATTAATTCTTGATTTTTGGCGTGTACCTGAAAATACGCCAAGAAACTTTACTTTAGGCAGGTACAACCATAATAACCCCTAATTAGTTACTAGTAAAGAATGCTTTAGGAAAGCTGCAGCCATATTCTTCGTAATTAAGGAGGATGTTTTTATTGGAAGTTGGGCTGAGAATATACAATTTAAAACATTTAGCAGAGGCATTATAGCCAACTAAACAATTGCTTGCTAACCTGACAATAAAATATGTCTGGTCTGCCGACACCCGTGGGCCTTGTCAAATTTGAATATTATGGAGTTGTTAATTCGTGGAATAAATAAGGATCCTATGGAGTTCCAACAACATGGCAACAAGGCAATGTAAGAAAATGCATTGACCATGAGAAGAAATCCGCTCTCAGTTTTCCTAAACCAATCCAAACTACCGGTAAGACACTACACTATAGTACGTGGATAATCTAGCTGGCTTCGGATTTGCTTAGCTTTCAATCAAATTTTCGAATAAAAAATATTTTGATTCGTCCTAAGCAACCCCCAAAGACTTCATGATTTGCATTCCACAAGAGTATAAGCAACATGATATCAAGTAGTCAATCGTCAAGCAATGGAGACAACCCTTTATTACCCGAAGACCAACTTGAGACCATATCCGGGAGGACCACTACCATAGCTGCAGCAGTCAGACACCCGAGATTGTAGCATTGACAGTCTCAGCACCGAGACAGCTGCACAAAAAAATGAAAGAAACCAGAAAGCAATTTATTGCTGCCAGTAGCTTGGGGATGAAATTCAATTTTCTTCACTTGCAGATTGCTTTTGTAGTCGCCATGTTCTTTCTACTCATGGCTGCGTACGTTTCCAGGGAAATCAGCAGGACTAGTAGTAGTAGTCGTAGTAGTAGAAGTACTGAAGTATATGATCAGAAGAAGGATATGATAAATGAGATTACTAGTGATACAACTGGTCAAACCGCATTCTCAAGCTGTGATTTGTTTTCAGGTAGATGGGTTTTTGATAACAAATCTTACCCTCTGTACAAAGGCCGACAATGTTCTTTGATGAATGAAGAATTGGCTTGTGAAATGTACGGGAGAAAGAACCTCAACTATCAGTATTGGAGATGGCAACCACATCATTGTGATCTCCCCAGGTACTGTGCTCTCCTGTTCCCTTTCAAATTTTCTTGACTGTCCTGAAGATCTGGATAAAAATGATGGTGTTTCTTTGTTTTGAATTAATTAAGGTTTGACGCCATTGATTTGTTGGAGAAGCTAAGGGATAAGAGGGTTGTGTATGTTGGAGATTCACTAAATAGGAATCAATGGATGTCAATGGTCTGTTTAATTGAGTCTTCCATCCCTGACAGACCAAAAACACTTCACTACAATGGCTCCCTAATTGCTTTCAAAGCCTTGGTAAGTCACGTTCTGAGTCCAGCATTCGTTTATTCAATTTGGATTCAAACATGATTTTATTTGGCATGAAGAAATGAAAGGAAAAAAAAAAGAGAGAAAACTATTGAATGTTGAACCACAATGTAATATTGTGCATTAATCCTATTAACCAAAACACAAATTAATATTAACTTTCTTTAAGTATTTATGAAGGTTACTACTTATAAGAATTTTGTCTCCAAACACGATAATAAGATCACGTCATTTATAGCATATCCCGTCTTTTTCAGACAGTTTGTGTTGATGTCTGTTATTTGTTCATGTATATGTTAAAGGAGTACAATGTTTCAATTGACTTCTATTGGGAGCCAATGTTGTTGGAATCAACTTGTGATGATCCAACAAACCACCGTGTGTCTGAGAGGATTATAAGAGGGCAGTCAATTGAAAAGCATGCCAGAAACTGGAATGACGCAGATGTTCTTGTATTTAACTCCTATATTTGGTGGAGACAGCTCAAACTAAAAATCTTGTGAGTACATCTCCGGCTCTGAATCAAACTCATTGATTGGAGACCAATTTTTAATCATCATATAATAAAAAGTCCATTG